TAGCTAGTAGCTAGCAGCCGGTGGGGGTCGGCATGGGCCTAAGGGGTGCCCATGGGCCTAATTGGTCAGCTTCCAGCGGAGTTCTTGCCGATTTTCACTTTTTGAAGGTAGCGCAGCCTCCAGAATCGCCTTCCGGATCACCTGACACATTTGAGAGGTTACAGCCTTACTGTATTGCGGGAAGTGCTTTTAAGAGATTAGTGGTTCATGGGTTCTACAATGTTGTGTCGATTTCATCACATTATCCCGAAAAGCTTGGGTAAGGTTCGAGTAGCGGCTCGGATCAGATCTCTTGTCCTCAGTTTCTCCCAGAGTCCGGCTCTCCTAAAGTCATGTGAACATGGAATCGAAGGCTACCGTGACTATTCGGTTTGATAGTATCCCATGATATTTTTCAGGTTTGAATCCTAGAACGATGCAAGCTTCCAAAAGTCAGTACTTGAATGCGAATTTACACGATTCTCAGAAATATCATCTTGAAATTCATTCGCAAGTATGATAGACAAAAACTTTATTGCTTTTGGACACGTAATATTATTAACTAGCTCAGCCAACTTGGAGAGGCTATTGACGTAAAAATTGCCCCCGTTGAATTGAGAATGGGTGATAGAGCGTATGGGGAGAGCACTAGAGCTGAGACGTAAGCTGGCGAGAAAAGAATGGGAGAAAGAACGAAAGGTGAAAGAATGAGTGGCGAAAGCACATTAGGTGTGCCAATAAACGGTGATAGTGCGAAAGGAGACAAAATCAGAGGAGTCATCACTTGCGGTGAGAGGATAAAAGGAGACATAAGCAATGGTGAGAGTATAAGGGGATTCATGATTCCAGGAGAAAGGATAACTGGCACAAAAGCCAACGGTGTGAGAATAATCGGTACGAATGCAAAAGGAGACAGTACAACAGGAGAAAATATACGTGGAGAAAGCACAACAGGAATGAAGAGCCACGGCGAGAGCACGACTACACCAAAAATTGCGGGGGAACAGATGAGAGCTGACAAATACACAGGAGAGAGAATCACAGGTTGACTGACAGTAACCGGATCGTTCACGATAATAGCGCTAGTTGGTGACAGAACAATGGCACGCTTGCGACGCGACTGTGGCTTCGTGACCAACTTCACCACACCCCTTTTAGATTCAAATTCCAGTCGACCATCTGCAACGCCGCGTACCGTGTCACGCACCGTACGGTGCACGTCGATATCGCTAATATTGCGGATGATGTCGAGCGTGGCGGAGTCGTTGTACGGCGAGGAAGGTCCGTAGAAAAATTCTCTTTGAGCTGGATTCAGAACAGCATACCCAGTGCGATTCATCTCTCGTTGCTGAAAACACTGCCTATTGATTGCATTTGAGTAGACTACGGTTTTCCACATTTTTAATGAGAATTATTTTTTTCAGTGTTTCGCGTAACTGCGTGACTAGGTGGTGGTTGAAAAAATCGAAGCCTTTTCACAAGTCCTCGTTCTCTTGTGCGATTCTTGCTTGTTGTACCACAGTGAACTAAACGCTTGCGAAGCAGTTAGGCAGCGTTCATACTTCGCGACAGCAGTGGCAATCGTCGGGTCGTCGGGCGTTAGAGTGCCCCAACGCTATTATTTGCTTTGATAAATAAGGAAATATAACTTGTAATACCTTTCTTGTCTTTTAATAATGGCTTCTAACTGAGAAGCGAGGACTTTCTCTGCCTAAGAGGATCTGGTATGAGAGAGAAGATGGTTTTATCTTTTATTTAGGCCGGGAATAAGTGCAATTAATTTGATATTTCTTTTTCTTTTT